TAGCTTGATAAAGCTATAGGGTGAATTCACCATGCATCGGATACCCTTGTACTTCAACAAGTTCTAGTGATATTGCTATGGACGGAAAATTATCAAAATGGAGTTTAACATTTAGTTTGTGATTAAAATATCAATTTGGGACACAATAATATTCCCTTTATTGAGAAAATATCCTCAAAAGTCGAGTTTTTAGGAATAACTCAAAATTCACCATGGATCGGACACTGTTTACCATGCATCGGACAGACGGTATTTTGACTGTAAAAATAACATACCTTTATCAAAGTGCTTTAAAATGCTTGATATGGATATATCTTTATCTTTTATCTAAGAATTAACCCTCAACTTAAATTCAATTGACGATATCGTTGCACAAATGTAGAACGATTTAAGAGACCTTACTCTGCCTTAAAAATGCTTTAAAATGCTTATAATGCGATAATTCGCGCCTTTTTTATGGTTTATCATACTCTGGTTTGTAGAAATAAATTGAGTCAAATTCCAGAAGTCATATATCGATAACTTGTATTATGACTGAAAATATAAAGTTTTTATTTTCTTTTTCCGCAAAATACAGCTATCAGCTGGGTTCTGTATGTAAATGGTAGAGCTTCACTTTCTATCGGAAAGTGTCCGATGCATGGTTAATTTGTGTCCGATGTACGGAGAACTGAACATACTAGTGAAAACCAGCTCTAAAAAGAATTATACGAACATTGAAGTGAAATTTCTTTAAAATTTATGTAAAATTACCAATCTTTGACTTTATTCACCAAAGTCTGACTCGTTCCGTTGAAGTCGAATTTTAAGAACGATAACTCTAAAAATCGCAAAATCATAAATTTCTGGTTATTCCCCTTTGATGATGTTAAAATATGACGTAACTTCAAGGCCATTCTAGGGGTATTTTTATCACAACATGATAATAACAATCGGTATCATTAAAGAATTTAAATCTTCAGCTTCAAGACAGAAACAAATTAATACACGGAACTCTTAAGCTGAAAGAGAATTTATTGTCTAAAGTTGTCCGATGCAAGGTATGTGTCCGATGCATGGTGAATTCACCCTATAGCTTTATCAAGGTATTTAGAATACCTTGATCAAGGTATTTTATGTAATGAAAATTCAAAAAAATTCTTTAAAAATTAATTACTGAAAGTCGAGTTCTGAGTTGCTGTTAGTAAATTCACCCATGCATGTAAAGTGCTCAAACATAAACAAATCAGTATAAAAACGTGTCATGTGAGGAGACGTTATTTTATGCTTTCTTTTTGATACCAGAGTGTTTTTCATGCACAAGTGGACACACTGACAAAAACTCAGAACTCGACTTTCAGTATTTAATTTTTAAAGAATTTTTTTGAATTTTCATTCCATAAAATACCTTGATCAAGGTATTTCAAATACCTTAGTAAAGCTATATAGCTTTATCAAGCTATATACCTTTATCGGGGTATTGTGCTGGACCTGATACAGGGGTCCCGGGTTCGATTCCCGTTCCAGCCACAAGTTTTCTTCGTGCATTTCTCCTTTCCTACTACATTTGGTGCTGTGCCATGCCCTGGAACTGTCAGGTGAAAGACCTGCCAGGGATGAGCCTGGGTTGGGGTCTAAAGACCTTTAAGGAGGGAGGAATGTGGCGGTCAGCCGGGTTCGATCGCCGGTGGCCAGATAGCTCAGTTGGTAGAGCACCTGACCGGAGTTTCAGGGGGCCTGGGTTCAAATCCCGGTCTGGTCCGCTGCATTTTCTCCTCTTTATTTATTCATCGATCTCATACAATTATATACATTAAAACTTATTTTATAGCAGAAGTACAAGAGAACCAGGCAGTAACAAAAGATGAAAGATGCTGTTGCTGAAAGATCCAGTCAAGCACATAAGACTAAACTGACTTGAATGATCAGCCTCCTTAAAAATGCAAATCAAATACAGGTATGAAATTGATCAGATGCAACAGAATAAGTTCTAGGACATATATATAGAATTTATTTTCATAAGACATTGTATATCAAAATATTACAAAAAGGTCATGGATGTCCAGTAATGCATTACCCTCGCCCCACCCCAGGGTATTCTTTTAGACATTTACCCATGATTCATCTACACTGTCATCTCACCTCACTATTAATCGATTGATTGTTGTTTAACTTCCCTCTCAAGAATTTTTCACTTGTATGGAGACGCACCCACTTGATGGTGGAGAGATGTAAATTTTGTCGTATACTCGGAGCCTTTGTCAATTTAAGCAGTGAGGGATATTTTTCATGCAAGTACCTGTGACATAGTTTAAACGGTCTCATATGAAGTATCCACATCTCCATGTTCCACAGTGTGCAACGTAATCACCTCAGTATTAAAATGGGATGAAACCCTTGTATACAGTTTAAATGAATAATAATATTATATATACATGTATTGAATTTTTTTTTTATAAAATGACTAATAAACTTGTCAACATTGGCCATCATTAAATATGTGTTTGTATCCAGACTATCCAGATTAGTTGGTAGGTTTTTTTTTTGCCTTACAGTATTGAAAAATATTGATAACTGTCATATTAAAAATCACAGACTCAGAAATCTGTTGAAGTTTTAAAAAAAAAATTGAAGTGCTGAAAAAATGATTACTAATGGTAGGGCAGATTTTAATGGGTAAGGCTGAGTACATCAAACAAATCATTTTGTTATTGTTGGCCTTAGTAGGGGCACTCTAGATATGAAAATACAGTGTGTAAAACAAATATTTTTAAATCAAATTTTTTTTTATGAAAAGGCCTTAGACATTTTTTGGTATAAAAAGGACAATTTTAGTCTGTTTTTCTTGTAAAAATATTGATAAAATTTAATGAAGAAGGTTAAGATTTGTATTAAATATCCAGTAAATGGATATTTACCAGATTTATAACTCATTACACCTAAATTATCAGTAATGCATACTGGAACAACTGTGCAATAATTCGAATGACATTTTACAGAAGTTTGCTAAATTACAGGTTTTTGTCAGCTTATCTGGAAATCTTAGGACATCACTGATTTGATCAAGAACTCATCCAGCGTGAAGACCAGCCATGTGCCTCACTTGTCGTGACATAATTAAAGGTAAGTAACCCTATCAGCAAAGAATTGACATGCAAAACCTTCAAAAGATTTTCATTTTATTTTAAGATACTTATTTAATTGGTAGTTTTAATACCGTATAAGCATAATTTTTAGCGAGGCATTATCAGCTATTTTTCTGAGATTGCTAAAATTGAATATCACTGAAAATTAAATGTGTTTAAGGTGTAATAATTATGTTAATGAAAATTATATACAAATATTATAAAGTTAGTAATCTTTTAAAAATCGCTACAATTACTTCTCCCTAAATAGAAAATACCAAATTTTAAGGACAAATCACTAAATTTGCATCATGATCTCGCTAAAATTTCCACTTGTAGAATATTTTAATTTCTGTAAAATGTTTTGTTACATTTCATAAAAACAAAAAATATATATTTAAATCAAATTCATTTTATTTCAGCGCTTTGTGACAGTGGGAAGATGGGATTTAAAACATGACATGGCTCTATATTACTGCATCAGAGACCAATCCAGGTTTACGTATAAAGTGAAGGAAAACAGTCAAGCATCATTTGGAGCCACGTGTACATATGTAACCGCCTAGACGCCTTTACAATATGACCTCTTATTTAAGAAATCACAGTGACCAGTTGTACCTATGATGTCGGACGAGATCCTGATAAAAACTTCTGTTGCACTCATCACTACCTGCAAAGAAATGAAAATTTTAAATGACTTGTATCAACACTTTTGTACTACATCTGGCTTGTATTTTCAGATCTTGTTAGCCTTTATTTTCCTTCAAACAAAATTTTATAAGTACTAACCTGCAGGTGTAAAATGTTTGAAACAATTTGCTTGTCTCAGAAGAAAATTCTCTGCCATTTAGCAGTGTCATGAGCAGTTGATTGAGGTCACAATTCCACCGGCAAAGAGTACACTGGGTATTTGTAGCTGAATGGTGCCAAATAAAACACTTTTCACAAGAACCTGGCAAATGTATTAAAGTGGAAGTGAGCATCTACACAAAAAATGAATACTTTCTCAAATATTAACAGTGATATATTATGCCTGTGTACATCCTAAATATATATATATAACTAATTACACAAGTAACTAGGAAATATACAATGTCAACTTCCTTAATTTTTTTCTCAAGTTCATGTATAGTGTATCAAAATAAACATGCAATATTTGTCTTTTTACACTGATATATTTTTAAGAAAATGTCATTCGTTGAAACAAGTGTGCGAATACTCTGCACAGTTAGCTATTTTTATGGAGAAGTTACATGTACCTATCAACATGCATTTTGAATCATGGGGATATAATGTTAGGCACACCGAAGGAGAAAAGTAATTGTTAACAAATGTTTTTACCAATCAAATTTGATATTTAATAAGAAAGTATGTGCCAAACTTAACTAGTATTATGGTTCATTCAACTTAATTTATTTATCATTGTATGTGAGCTTTCGTGAATTTGATAAATAAATGAACTAGTAGGTTTGATAATGAAGAAAGAGAAAAGAGCAGCCCAAAATTTACCCAATACAAAAGAAAATAAATTCCATAATTAAGTACTTGGAAGTTGTCACACTCTTCATGAGTATAAGAATTATGAGATATACTATACATAATGTAAACATATTACATTTAGCCATATATTTTATTTAGTGGAAAACATAGTCCGCCTATCCAAGTACATCACTGAATGTCTTGTATATGAATTTAATAACTAGCACATTCAGATATCTAATAGTATGATAACTTGTTGAAAATTGAATTTCCACCAAATATTGTACACACCAAATGTAATACATTTACAGTATGTATGCCTCATGAACAGAACAGATCTATACCGGTATATGGATGACACATTCAGTCGAAGTGTTGTCCCTTTTTCCATATCTGCTGGATCCCTATAAAATATGATGACAAATGTAGATAAAATATTCTATCGTTGAAGGATGAATGTCCTATGGACCCAGTCATTGCCTTTTTGGAGACAACGTTAGATTGATCTATCTGACAAATGCCTTCATTAAAAATATTCCTATTTCTAATTCCTATTTTAAGAAAGAAAAAAAAAGTCTGTCTCATAATTGTAAGAGTATTCGGGAAGGGAGTCATAAGGCTATACAAGTTATATTGAAATTGAATATATATAGTGTATACATCCCTGTTTACATGAAAGAAGTAATATTTGACATTTTTATTTCTGGATAGAGTACATAACAAGTAAATCTATTTATTTCTACTGTAATTCAAGTATAATACATAGGCTTTAGCCCCCCTTTTTATTGCAAATATATACATAATATAGCATTGAAAATTGGTGTTTACCTTTATTTTGTTGGTTAAGCCCCCCCCCCCCCCATTCTATGTACCCGTCCCGTGTGCTAAATAAATGAAATAAATTTAAGGAACCAATCTCTAGGGAACCTATTTGTTTGGAAACACATTATTTCAGCTTTAAAACTATCTAAATTTTCCTTTATGCTTTAAAATGTTCGCCAACCACACTGCTAATCGTGACCCATTCGGAATGGCTTGTATGTACGTCGTTTAATAAAACAATAAAGCAGTTAAACGCTGTTTACCTGTATTAATCAATCCATTATATCCTCTTCTTTTCAATAATCGGGAAACAAACGACATGACAGGCTCTGCTAGTCCACCGCGAGGCTTAAAACTAAATGCCAAGCGGTAATCCATTGTCTCCAAGAACGCTCAAGTACCCGGAAGTTAGAAAACGAAAGTGAAAGTTAACGAGACTTACAACAGACCCTATTCCGAAAATACAAAATGAAACAACCCGTGACGTCACAATTACAGGAATATCGAGCCCGATCTCTTTCACACTTCAATTCTCGCACCTTGCGCACTAGCACCGGCCGGTATACGCACACACAAAAAACAGAGCAAATACAAATACATAAAGACAAACAAATAAATAGAAACAGAGAAACACACAAAACAATGATGTGCACTCTTGATTTTTGTTTTTATTTAAATGTTGATATTGATGAGCTCAATCGGATCTGCAGAGGTAACGGTCCACCGCACTCACTATAGGAGGTATATATGCGCTGCGCTTCACAGTCTAGTTCACAACAATGGACAGGTGGTATTGTTCGATCAGCTGACTGAGTACAGTTCACCAGATACGTGTGGACCACACGTTTTCCCTGAAAATAGCACTTTTTTGAGTGTCTGCGCATGCACGTACCCCCGTTTGGGGGTACGATTTTCCTACTTCCGTTTACCCCCGTTTGGGGGTTCGACTATACTGAAAATGGTAGGCCCGAACGTCGGGCGATCCTACATGTAATTGCACACCCCTGCACTCAACTTTTTTTTAACAAAAGCCCGTTTTCAACATGTTCAACAGGTACGTGTTGGTGGACAGGTTTACTTTTCTTGACTTTCAATAAATTCTACAATTGCATAATGTTTGAAACGTGTCAAGTTAGCTACAGTATATATGTACAAAGCTTTTTTTTTTATTTCAATGTCGAGCAACAAAAAAAACTTACCGCATTTGCTTGTGTTTCTGAATTTCCTCAAAGCTAATACAAAGTGCCCAAATGCAGCTACTTCCGTATCCCGCGCAGGCGAAGTTTGTTTAAAATATGTGCGCATGCTCAGGTATTCGGAACTCCTCGATTCCAATCGGCAATCCTCGGCTGACTCCGCTATGCTCCATTCAAACCTCGGATGTGATTAGTGGAGGAATACGCAACAGATCCTTACATTTCTTCGCCGGAAACTGCCTTATCACTCATTTCATATTTCGCTCTGCATAACGTTCTCCGAAAATGTTTCTTAATTTGTGCAGTTCTTTATCGTAAACATAATTTGATTACATCCTCATGTTAATAGGCTTTGAAAGCAAGAAAAAACTGTTGAGTGTACCACAAAATCACTCCGATTTCAAATGTATGACATTTGAAAGAAATTCAAATAAGATCACATGACTGAATCAGCAAGATGGTAGATCACCGTTGACGTCCGAGGTTATGTGCGAGGTACGAGTCATCCGAGGAAATCCGAGTGCCTCGATTCAATTACCGAACTCCTCTAAACAGCAGTTTTCTGAATGTCTGAGCGTTTTGGGCTGTGACATGTCCAAAAATGTCCGTAAAGTCTTGTGAGGTTAAATCTAATTTTAGGTTTTTCAACCTCATAAAGTAATTTTAAACGTAAATAAACCTCTTCATTGGGGGGTTAACACCACAGTACGAAAATAACCTCACGCTGCTGGAAAATACGTTCATTTTACACCACAATGTACCTCTCGTAAGAACAGACTGACAGATGGACGGACAACGGACACCTTACTATCATATAAGCTCTTCTGGTCTCTTAATACCATTATAGCTTATAACATAGCTTTAAATGTCTCTGCATTAATAAAGATGTTTGAATTTCTTTCACGTTTGCTTATTGTGTAAATAATTTGTAAAACCATGTAGAATTTTCTACACTTACTGTAACCTTTATCCTGACACCTATTGGAGCCTTTAGTGTCCAGGTACAGAAAGCATCATTTTTATATGTTGGCGATTGCTGACTACCGTTAACCATGGTTATTGTACCAGAGCCACCCTTTTGAACAATCTTTAATTCTGTGCAGCTAGAACCTGTTAATTAAAATCAAGGTTTTTTTATCATTTCTTTTTTGTACAAGAAAATTAAATCCCATTTGTCAAAATTTTAAAACAGATATGAAAATTGACATTTGATAAAAAATTAAGATAAACTTGTCTTGAACAGTGTCATTGACTTAACAATTAATACAAAAGCTTAGATGATATTCATATGAAAAAGAAAATGATTTAAGGTAAAAGACACAATATACAAGTCCTCCCTACTGCAATTCACTTCATCAGACATATCTCCACAGTCATTCTGTCCATCACATTGCCACTTCTGGTTTATGTAACCCCCATTTCCACAATACATTGAATCTGAAATAAACGACATTTCATAAATGAATATACAATACCCTGTACAAGAGCTGTTCATAAGGTTCATGGATAATGACATTTTTGTCAAAATAAATGGTTTTAGATATACCTAACATATGTCAAGATATTTCTTACAAAAATCTGAGTTAGAAAAGTTTACGTTTTCATTGAAATTTAATAATTAATTTGAAAAAATTGTAGTATTTAAATGTCATAAACTTCAAATTAAGGCCATCATTTAAAATAATTTTGTTTGATGTACTCCAATCCACACTTTTCAAGGTGGGTAGGTAGGTAGGTAGTTTTTTTTACTTTTTCTCTTTTTTTGGGGGGGGGGGCTTTCCAGAATTGGACAAAATTATAACTGTCATAAAAATCACAGACTCATTGTGTTTTCATTTCACACAGGATAGCTATACAGATTATTTTATTGCTATAAAAAATTTAAACAAAAAGCATTGTAGAGAAATTATACTATGGAAAGTTAGAAACTGAAAAAAACATTCAAAATTCAAAATTCTGAAAAAAATGATCGCGTAGAGGCGATTTTGATGGGTGTTGCTAAAACGCGGAACGGAAAACGGAACGGAAAGCGGAACGGAATGGAAAACGGAAAATTTCTGTCAAACAAATAACAGATTCGATATAAATCAGATAAAAGAGCAATATTCCTGATGTAAAAGTCATTTCTAATAAAAATTTATTGTAAACTATTATATAATCATGAGTCATACACACCCTCCGTGGAAAAAATATGGAACTGAAAGAAATCCCCCCTTCCACGAAATAGGATTTTCGTGTTTGGGCAAAGGACATATCCCCCTTTTTTTGCTTGTCAAATTTGTTGTATGTAGGAAATTTTTTTACTGACCCACCCCCCCCTTGCCACCCCCTGTTTCAATTTGTTTCCAATGTCAATTTCTGTAAAGACAAAAATTACTACTTATGATATTCAGATTGTGCATGCAGTGTTGAATTCGCGAATCATGAAAGGGGGTTGGCAGTTTCGAGTCTGTGTAGGGGCCCACAGCCACATTAAAAATTAATTTATTAAACCTTTTGTATATTTTGAAAACAAAAAGGGGGCAGACCTATTACAACTTCTCAGACCTTTCCGAAGAGTGGGAAAACAAACTCATTTTTTCGGGGTCATTCATATACACCCCCCTAAACATACAGACATATGTACCGCAAACAAACATAATTTAACTTCACTGAATGCAAAGATTCTGCATTTTATCTACCACATGAAAGTTTTCCTACTTTAATTATCCAGAATTTAAATATATAGAAAGCTACTTTATTTTGAATAAAATTTTAACAACCAGTGTGTATAAGAGATGTTTATTCGAGCTTAACGTAAAGATTTGTCCTGAACGTAATCTTAATATTTTTTTTTTTACATTTTATTTCTCTTACCATGGTTCATCTAGATATCAAATATTTGCCCCCCCCCCCCCAGTCATTACCTTTTCACTACGGAAATATTCATTCAAGTTGACATCCTCACAATTTTTGTGAATGTAATTAATGTAGTATGTTAGTGTAAAAATATAGCACTGAAAGATATATTCCCCTCCCAAATCAAACAATTGTTTTCTTTTTGTGTTTTTCCCCTCCCGAATCAAACAATTGTCTTCTTTTTGTGGTTTTGCTTGTCAAATACTTTTCAAGTTCGTTTACCCCCCCCCCCCTTTTAAAATTCGATTCTAGGTGAATGCTATGTTAGCGATTTTCGTAAATAAGAGACTGAGCATGACAAAATCAACTTGTATTTAATAGTGAGGGTTGCATATGTACAAGATATATCGTTTATGATAAAATTTGTGTATTTTAAGTGATTTAATCCAAAATAATATATTCCGTTTTCCGTTCCGTTCCGCTTTCCGTTCCGTTTTCCGTTCCGCGTTTTAGCAACACCCGATTTTGATGGTTCGGTCAAAGTACATCAAACAAATCATTTTTTTATTGTTGGCCTAAAATGCCCCTGTCTAACAGTTTTTTTGCTAACATTATAATATTAAGCAGTACTAGCGACGCTTGCGAAGCAAGCTCAATAGACTAACGTGTAAGAACAGAGGAAAACTGGAATGAAATCTGTACATACGTCAAACAAATTTCTCTGTGAAACATTCCCGGAATTCCTTTACTACCCAATGTCCTTTGCGCGAATAAATAAATAATAACGTAAAGCATAAAAGGCTATCAGTTTGTAGAAATCGTGCAAAGAAACACAAAATAAATCTGCAATGTTTATCAACCAAATTTATAGTTTCAACCAGATGCTCGGCTGTCTCCGTAAGCTCCAACGAGCTCCCTGATATCGTGCAACGTCAAAGCTAGTCGAGACGTCTCATGAGGCTTGATGTTTGAAGTGGCTGATTAATTTTTAAAGTTTTTTTTTGATGGTACAACTCAGTGTTTTCCCTAAGAACCGGTTACCGGCCAAATTGATCGCTTCAATTGACAAATAATAGACGAAAAAAAAGAGATTTTGTTCATAAACCTCAGCCCCTATGCCTGTTACAACTTACCGGGTATCTCTAACCCTTTACTTTGAAACGAAGGGAAAACACTGCAACTGCGCTCGCCCCAACGGTCACACCGTAAAACATATTAGTTTAAAACATACAACAAGAAAATAATCTTAGTTTAAACCTGGAGATTTAGGGGCTCCCAAAACCTTGCAAATGAATGGGAGCTTCTTTCTGCAGTTTGTCACTGTCCAATGATTATCGTCCTTGTCTCTCAGGGTGGAAACACATTGAGAATCTCCCACAAACTCAGATGGTTGCAAGTTTTTCCACAGCCCCTCAACTAATGGCAAAGCTTTGTTCTTCATCATTCTATACTGTGTCCAAACAATTTCATTTTGGCCAGCTGTTGAGGACATGTTTGATAGACCTGCAATAAAAAAAGCATACACATGTACTTTCTGGTAGTGCTGTGCGATATTAGCCTAGGCCTAATACCAGTTAACCGATGTATATGCTGATTTTGTTCTTCACAATACCTATCGCGATTGATCACGAGCCTGTTATGTACACCATACATGTATATTATAATATTAAACTTCAATGACAATATTTTTTAAAGCTGTTATTTTACTCTATAAATGTTGTTACATGCAAGTATTTATAAGTTCAAAAGCTCCAATAGGCCTGTTAATTGGCTCTTCAGCTACGATCAATAACTCCATTCAACTGTCATATGATTCAACAATAAAATGAAAAAAAAATCGTTCAACTGACAACCCATGCTCTAGCACACATCATACCTCGATCTTCCTCAGAGAGATCGTGCATGAGTGGGTTAGTTTTACCGTGTGCTTACGTGGCGCCAAAAAATGTCGCCGCGAAAATTCTGATAATAGCGAGCGCAGCGAGGGGGCGCAAAGGTAGCTAGCTAAATACACTAACGTGTACGAACAGAGGAAATTCGGGTTGAAATCTGCACATTGTTCCAAGAAATTTTTATGAGTCCACGTGAAAACATTCTTAATTAGTCTGGTCCTGATTTTTAAAAAGAAGGCTAGAAATAACTTCTAACGGCAAATAATTATTATTTGGTCCAGCATAGTTTTTTAATTATTTGGTCCAGCATAGTTTTTTAACCTATTTCGAGTATGCTAAATCCGAAAAAATATGCTGGCCTTCATGAAAATGGCGTTAAAGAGGTTAAAATGGCGGACATCCAATTTTTCTACTTTTCTCTTAATGTCGTTCAAAATAGAGAAGTAATGAATGAATATCTAACTCAGTGTAATAAAACTATAAAAATTATAAAAGGATGCTAACATTTTTAGTTAAACTCAGAAAAATTAGTCGTTTCTATGCTTAATTCGAATTTCTTCTGACTTTTTTTGTCTATTGTTTCTATATTCTTCTTTGTTCAGGATTTTACATTTGCAAATATCCATACACTGCAGATTTGTATTTTTCCCTCTACATCTCACTATTCTACAATTGAATGATAGTGCAGCTGTAAGTTAAAGTCAAAATGGCGATTCAAAATGGGGGATATTCATCTTTTTCTTCAATTTATTTAATTCTTAATGTCGTTTACATGGGAGAAAGGATTTGTGAATATTTTACTGAGCGTAGTACAACTATGTAAAATGACAATAGAACACTAATTTGATCACTTTAAATCGTAAAATTTAGTCGATAAATTTGAAATGTGTTAATCATAGCTCAAAATGGCAATTCAAATGACGTCTTATACACTCGAATTTCGAAAAATCGTAAAAAACTGCTTAATTCTGGTTCGTTTTGCAGAAAATAAATTACAGTTTGAATAATTTTTTTATTCATGAAATAATGTTCAAATATGCAATGAAAGTTGGAGGATATTTTTGTTAATGACTTAGGATTTTTATAACACGGATTTTTGTTTAATTACTTCTGTTGTTAAGATAAATGTTTGACGACAATTCCGAAGACATTTTACCTTTTACCTGTCTCACCTTGCTTCTTCATATAAATAGTTAATAATATCATATAATAATTGCTGTTTTGAGGACAATATGAAAATTAAGCTACCCCAAGAGCAGTATCCCTCGAGCATTAAGGCGAGTGAACATTCAGTTGTTGGGAATTCTTGATCTATTTTTAGTCCAGCGTAGAAAAAAAATAAATGTTTATGTTCATGTGGAAGGTCTAGTGCAACATAACTTAGTGTGATTTTTAGAATGATTGACTACGACCAATTATAGGGCTAGAAATTGTTACATCATATAAATCTGAATATATTATAATATCCAAATATAAACATATATATTAAGAATTATCAGTATAATATACGTAAACCACAAATTTTCTTGATTGTCCAGCTCTGATTCTGTGTCCCTGCATTTGCATTTTGTTATTCTCAGTCAAAAATTCAACTGATTCTCAAATATTTCATCCTGTGAACGGATAATTTTGTATTGCACAGTGTATATAAAATTAATTTAAAAATTTTGAAATTTACAAAATCTGAAAGAAGAAAATGTTTGTCTTCAATCCCCCCTCGGTTCTTGATACAACCTTAAACTATCCTAACAAAGAAGTGTGGATCAAGTTCTTGAAGTGTTCAAGAAAATTTTGTTGTCAAGAAAAGTTTGACTAGATCGAAATCAGGTATGACTTAGGCCTATTGGTACGAAAGCTTGTAAGTGATAGGAATCACGAGGAATCTGCAGGCGCTCTTAAATTGCATATAACTTTTCTCACCAAAATATGCACACAATGTGATTTCAGATGATCAAGTTTGAGAAATTTCTTGCTAATAGAATGACCTTTCTACCCTAAAAGACAACAAATGTATACGAGGTCACAAATTAAAGAGCTACATGTCTTGAATATCAGAGTTTTTTATACCCCTGCTTGAAAAGGGGGAGGGAAAAGCGGAAGGGTATAGAGTAATCGGTTTGTCCATCCGTCCGTCTGTTACGCTTTGGGGTACCCATCTCTTATCCGCAACTCCTCTCATACCACTGAATGAAATTTGATGAAACTTTCACAGTATCTTTATTACATATTGCCACTGTGACCTCCTATTTTACCTTTTGATCCGACACATAATTTGGGTTTCCCATAACAAAACAAAGACACTGTCATTATATTCATATGGGAGACCGGGGTATCATTTAGTGAGGTAATTGCTCACAGTACCACTAGTTCATTTTGCAAATGGTTTTGGATAACAAAATAGACTTTTAAAATTTGAACATAAATGTGTTGTTCCTTTAGTGTTGGTTGATTGATTGTATATTGTTTAACGCCGAGTAGTGTTTCAGAATCGGAGGAAAAATACTATCGATTATCGAATCGAATCGGAAACACCGTTTCGATTCATAATCGAAAATAATCGGACATTTCTCATGTTTCCTTTTTTACATTATGAAAGGCCTTAATTTTTTATTGTGTTATTAATAAGAACTGCAGTAAAGAATACATAGGCCAATATTTCAGTTTTAATGAATATGGTAATTTTCTACAATTATTAAAGGAAAGGATAACACTTGTTTAAATATCAAAGAAAATTAATTTTTTAATAGTACATGTATATATAAAATTATGAAACTGATAACTTGCATAGACAATTATATGTTTCATTTCTTTTAATAACATTTAAAATGTTTATAATTAAACTATATTGATCAGTTTAACACGTTGAAAATTTTGATTAAAGGTTTTGATTTTTAAAAGATAATTTTCATTAAAGTTTTATTCCTATGTATTACGAAAAAATAAAAGTAAAAGTTCAACAAGTTGTCTACCTTCATAAATGTTCACATTTGAATGGGTGTGCACAATAAAAATAACACTACTTCTTTGAATTCCTTATATATGATTAAAAAAAATGGTAGCATAGTGTTTAACTTCTGACTGTCCTCTTAATATTTAAACTATTAAAAGATAATACATAAAATGTGAGTGGACAGTAGAAAATATCGTTTCATATGAGAACAGAGGAAATTCAGGTTAAAAGACGATTTTTTTTAAAATGGTGCTCTTAATGGTTATATTTAGTCATCAATTCTTTTGCTGCCTATATGAATTATGTCTAATGGAAGAGAATATTATTTAGATTAAGCCATAATTATTATTTTCTAAACATGTTTACGAATTATTCGCTGACTGAGTTACCAATGCCAATACCAAAGGTTACAAGCACCGTTTAGTACAGACGACGGTAGTAGTATAAACGGTCTGGATGGGGGGTTCAACTGAGTGCACTTTTTATGCAAATGAGGTCAAAAATGCTGGATTCTGATTGGCTGGGGGATAGGCGGGTCAAGGGAGTGCAGATTGGGGGGTCTGGGGGATAGCTGGGTCAAGGGAGTGCAGATTGGGGGTCTGGGGGATAGCCGGGTCAAGGGAGTGCAGCCTCTGGGGGGGATAGCCGGTTCAATGGAGTGCAGCCCCTGGGGGATAGCCGGGTCAATAGAGTGCAGATTAGGGGGTCTGTGGGGGATAGCCGGGTCAATTCAGTACATATAGTCGGCCCTAAATACGGGGGGTGTGTTTACACTGTGTTTACATTATACTATATACGCTGCTACTACGATTCACAACGCTGCTACTACGATTTTGGCAGCGACTTTTATACCTGTTGCATCATCTGTAAGGGCCCTGTGCAAAAAATACGATAGACCTACGTTTTTATGCTGACTACACAGGTATTACTTGGCAGCGATTCAAGTTTGTTTAGGGCCTTGTGCAAAAAATATGCTTACCTATGCATTGTGACGTCATAAACTTGGCAGCGACGTCATGTTAGCCCTTCACAAGCCGCGATGGCTGCTTATTTTGACACAATAACACAGACTTTCACAGCGCTTGAGACTTCATGTAATAACAGTATGGTCCTATGGATTTCAGTACCAAAACTGATTTTCTACCGTTTTTCTTCCAAGAAAGTTCTGAACAGCTGAATCTGGATCAGCCTAGATGTTATTTCACTGGATTATTTAATGAATATTACTCTACTGAGTTACCTGGTTACATGGTAAGTTTTAACAAACTTTTCTTTATACATTTTCTATGAAGGTCATCTTTGTATTTATTCATTATTACTGTGTTATATACCTTATGTTTAGAACATTCATATAAACACTGCCATTGTTTACCCTGAAATACACTAGGACACTAAAAGATCCTCAAAAATGTTGATAAATCTTTTTTGCATGAGTTATGATCATATTGTCTCACATTCCTTTTATTGGATCAGTATTCTAAATATTCTTATGAGGAGACTCCTAGCATATCTTATAAAATACTGATACATGCTTTTAAAACAACTAAAGTGATATTCTCAGTTGTCATTTCTAATATTTCTATGAATATTTAATCACAGTGACCAAAAGAAGGATATGGAGATAATCAATCAGATCATATTATGCCAATGAATCTTTTGTCTCAAATCTTTTTTAATGAAATATACAGAATCTTTTGCCTTATTTGTCACTCATATTTTTACATTCTGGTGCAACAGTGGCCCAATGAAAGTGGGAAAAACTCAGTCTGAGCATCTCTGTAAATCTATAAACATGTGTCCCCCCCTTTTTTTTAAACCTTCATGTATATACATGTATGTATTTTATTTAGTCAGTGATTTCAAACATCAACATGTAAAATATATATTGAGTACTTTAAAAGTGAATATGCATGATTTGTACACCCTGAATATTCTGACATACTAATGGTGACATCAGTTAAAAGAGTAATTAGTTATGTAAAATTCAGTTTATATGAATGTAAATGGGGTATTTATTCTCAGTTCATGTAAGGTATAATTTGCATGTAACCCAGAGTGTATT